ATCCCCAACCAAAGAGGTTCGAGAGCAGCTACTTCTGCCCCCTGTGCACCGTAGTCCATGTAGGATACGTACCACTGTGTAATCTAGTTCGCCGAGAAGAAATCGGCAACACGCTGATGGGTAGCCAGATTTGGCACCAAGTCTGGCGAAACGGGTTGGCGATCCCTGCTCATTTGTAGAAGCGCATTCGCTTTCATAAGCACACACGCACCGACGCTGAAAACGAGACAAGAGTTAGCACAGGCGCCAGTCGTGAAAGCAGTCTTTACGTGGAACTCTTCTTGCTCTACCCTGTCTGTTTAGAACTGGTCTCAAAGAGCTCGTGTCACGTCGCCAAGCAGTTACACGGCCATCCCAACAAACAAGAATCGTCAAAGCTCGCTTTGTTAGGGCAAATATGTTTCAGGTGATATTGTGCTTTCCTCCTAGCCTAGCCTAGCCTAGCCTAGCCTATCCAAACTTCGTAAATCCACTTATGGTTGACATTTTTGTCCATATGTGTTTATGCTTTGTTCATTTTCGTAGCGTCCACCTCACAAGATTCAAAGATTGACTGTCAACAGATAAAGTGTTGCAATCTTCGATCAATCCTTTAGTCGATATAAACACTTCTACAATATAATACAGAATAAATGCCCGCGTTTTTAGAACGTTAAAGCATGTGAAGATAGTTCAAACTTCAATTCAAAAGTATCTTTCCGGCTAGGGTTTAATTTTATGCCATACGAAGAAAAAGCGTAATTTTAATCAGTTGCTGCTTTGCGGTGCTTGATTATAAGTGATAAAAGGTTCTTCCTCCCGTCTGTTGTTTACTTGCATATGACAATCCGCTCTTCCACTCTGAGAGTGTATATCTTGTTGTAGATGATTTACCCTGGTGAAATCAATAAAACTTCAAAACTCTAATTTTTCCGCTGAATTTCATCAGATTGTACTCCTATCCGATCAGTTCGATCCTTGAGCCTTCACGCTCATGAAAGAGATACCTGGTCAATTAGCTCAAGCACTCTGGAGATGCTCCTCCTCAACAGCAACCGCAGCAGACTCGCCCATGGGGACATCATTCAGATCGCATATGAATAATGTACAAGCTTCGTCGAAACGTCGTGGCGCGCGTCTGGTAGGAAGGCCTAAGCGCTATAGGGAACGTGCCGTTGCTGTGGCATGTGCGGAATGGAGCCGTCGCAGTCGCAGGAATGTGGATCGCATGGAACTCTGTTGGCGCTTGGCAAGTGTGCCTATCGTGGAGTCCTGCGCACTTGGACGAGAAGTGGCTTTAAGTTAAGAGAGGCTGTCATGGAGAAAATCACGCTATGTGGCGAGGTAACAGTTTTCTTTGAGCATCGCTCCCGATAATGGCATTAATTGCATGTCAAGTTTCGATCCACGCATACATTATGCATCAACAAACAAAAGTAGGCTACCATACATTATGGCCATTAATGTAATTAATG